GTATTGAGATTGGTCATACACTTACACTTTGTGCACAAGTGTATTTATCATTTTCTAACCATAGCTTAATTAGATAGTTTAGCCTTGTTAGTTTGTTAATATAGCTATTAGTTGTTATTAGTTAGTGAACAACTATTGCCAGCTGTCAAGTGTGTGAGCCACTTGTATATGTAAGGTGCTTGGATATTTTGTATAGTAAATATTCAATTTATTTTTCCCGATTATATTTCACACATCTCTCGAAGCTGTATAGTAAATATTCAATTTATTTTTCCCGATTATATTTCACACATCTCTCGAAGCTGTATAGTAAATATTCAATTTATTTTTCCCGATTATATTTCACACATCTCTCGAAGCTGTATAGTAAATATTCAATTTATTTTTCCCGATTATATTTCACACATCTCTCGAAGCTTCTTCTCTCATTTTCCTCTTTCTTAGCTAGGTCTTTGTTCATCTGCCATTGAAGCTCATCTGAGCTCTATTTCATCTTGTTTATCTGAGAATTTGTCAATGATAGTAATAATTCCCTTTCATTAATCTAACTTTTGTTCATATATACTTTCAACTTTTGAATTCGTGTTTGTGAAGCAAACAGGGATTCGTTTTTATGCTTAGCCCTTCTATGACAAGTGATTCATTTCATGTAAGTAAAAGGATATACATATTCCCTCCGATGAATTTGAGCTTTGCTATTTCTTTTGCATTTCAATAAATATTCCTACAAGCTTATAGGTGACAAGCATGGTGTCCTCCAAAGTCAAAATATGTCTACAATCCTTGAGGCATATTTCGCATGAAAATAGAAAAACGTCTTTGGGACAGCTTCAAATCATATTTGGCATTTTGTATATGTCCATGTAAATTGTGGAAAAGGGAATAAAAAATAGGCGTTAAATTTTAAGCTACTATTTTATTGGTAAAAGTTTAATTCATAGGTTCATAATTGGGCAATCCATTATCTTTTGTACATTGTCTTGTTTTTCATTCACTGGTGTCCTTATTTGTAAAATCCCACTCTCTAGTAATTACTCTATATATAATAGTATAAGCTTTGAGATAGCAGATAGCGTTACTCATCCAAACAGTTATAAGATAAGAACCAACTTCTCTTCAATTTTATACCCTTTTATTAATCAGCTGAATCCCAAATATACATATTCTATTGACATCTATTAATCCATATTCCATGGCCACAAGGTTTGACTAATTCCTTGCCAAACAAGTAAGACCAATCCAGAGCTTGCTTTTGTTAACTAACAAATTCATTTTTATCGGAGAATCACAAAGAACACGAAAAATATTCCTAAATATATTTCAAGGTATCATAAAAAATAATCTTTAGCAAAAACCGGTTTCTTTAGCCATTCTTTTGTTTTCGAAAATTAGAAGGAGAACAAAGGGTTACTTTTATTTTCGTTTCACATATTTAATAGAGAAAAACTCTTCGTTAAAAAGTTATACACTAACTAAGCAATTTTTCGTCTTGTACCAATTAATATCCTACTTCATCTTTGAAAGTTAAATAGAATATTTTTCGACTAACAAATTGCTCTTAATCTATTTGATCTTTTCTTACCAAAGATTTATCACAGGTTAGCAACTTTATCGTATTTTAATAATATTTGAATTACGTGAAATATAAAAGGTATATATGAGCTGGTTGGACGAAAGAAGTGGTCCAAATGGAGAATTGTGGGAGCAAAGGGCATGTGGTGAGGTAGCTCACTTCAACTAATTTTAACTAAATATTATAATTATTAGATCCTTATTTAAAGGGTTTTGGGGTAGGGGGGGACCATAGAATTGTTTTTTAATTTACTCATAACAATCTAAGTTAGTAAGACATAATAGCCCTTAGATCTGTATTTAAAAAAGCATTATAATTGAGAATATTGATGCATCATACATCATATACTATATTAATTTAGTTATCACATTTTAAATC